TGTGTGTGTGTGTGTGTGGGAACTAAAAGTGGTACACTCTGCTGCAAAGTTGTGAGAGGATGAGATCATCAGACACACAATGAACAACCTGTTGACCTATTTGCACAAAATGGGTCAACAGGTTGTAAGTTACCTACGCACGTTCACACATTTTCTACTGAACCGGGTTCTAACGTGACTTTTGGTATTTACGTGTGTGAGGAAAAGCCAGGGCAACCCACGGAGTCAGACAGTGAGAGGATGACACACACAAAAAGAGAGCAAGAGATCCACTGACAGACGAGAAGAAAAAACACATGGGGATTCACTGCCTCAGAGGAGTGAAACTCATTGGTGGGGCACTACTACATAGAAATAAACTCCTGGATATCTCAGTAATCTGTGTGTTTGTGTGTTAAGAGTCAAACTTGCTTGTGGGCCTGACTGAATTGTCTCTACTCAACATTCTTCAGTTTTCTAAAACTCTGAAAAGATTGGCCAAATCTGACTTGTACTAGCACATCAAAGACTACGCAAGACCACAACACACACAAACGCACGCACACACACACGTGCGTGCATGTGCATGTGTATATACATACACAACGGAAGGCATACAAACATACACATACGTAGACACAGTTGGACACACAGTTGGACACACACACACACACAGAGACCACAGCTAAAAGCATCAAGCAGCTCAAAGCAATCCGCCCTGCTGAATAACATCACCGAGCAAAGCCACCATACCACATAATGAAAAACATGCACAAACACACACACATACAAACACGCATACACTCATGTGCGTAGAAAGGCCTCATACGTACGTACCCAGTACCATATACTCAGGCTTGCACTAATCATTTATCTATACAAACGCACTAAAATAACAGACATCCATAAAAACTACACAGCACGAACACACACAAATAGACAAAGTGAGCCAATGAACCTGCCTGCATTTGCCCTTAAAGGGTCAGTTCACTCAAAATCATAGTAGTGTTTAGCCTTACAGATAGATTAAGTTTTATTTGAGCAGATTTGGTTAAATTCTGCTCTAAGATATCAGCCACCAGCCCAATATAATGAGAGTGAATGGAATTTTGTTTCAAAGCGCTGAAAAGGGACATTTGTCAAACTCAACCCGCTCTTTCCAGAAACAATATCCCAGTTATTTTGGATAATAACGACACGTCACTGTGAACCTTTTTTTCTTGTTGTTTTTTTTGTTTTTTTTAACATTAT